GAATATATCAGTTGCAAGGTTACGCAGTTTGTTCACCAGTTCACAGTTAACACACTTTATGAAAGTAGATTCACATTCTTTTGCTTCATGATCACCAGCACATATGAGACAGCAAGTAGAGTTGTTTCAGGAACATGCTGTATGGCCAGACATGGAACATTTGAAGTAGCGGTAGACATTGATTTCTTCAGCCACTCTACAGGTAGACGCGTTGCAGCTTGATCAAAGGATCAAAGTTTCAAATGTCCGAGGAGAGCGGAAGATTGTTTTGCTTTTTCAATTTGAGGTCAATTTCACCAGCACTTAAATCTTCGGACAGACCAATGATTTTTATCCATGATCACTTGTTTCCGTACGGAAACGTTACCGTTCTCCATGCATCGAACATTTTTGACCGAAAAAGCAGCAGAATATATCTTCGAGAGAATATTCTTGATTTGTCACATCAGCACGTTGATTTCCCTTAGGCTTGATAATTACAGTTTGTTCTCTCTTGTTGGATCTCGCTGCGGCTCTTCTGCTTCCGTCCCAAGTGTCGAACCACAAAAGAGACTGGCCTGTCGGACTCTTTCCTCTTCAATAATTTCAGGGTCCAAGCTTGGGTCCGATGATTGATCCGTTCCCTATAAATAAAACAAAAATGGTTAGCAATCAGCTTAAGCAATAGCAATAACATCAATAACAAGGAAATAAAATAAGTCGACAGGAATCTGACCTAGGACCGTCGTGAAAAAAAATGACACTTCAATGAAGAAGAAAACATGCACGCCTACGTTGATCAAAAAGTTTGATTTTCATGATTTTCACCCACTTGCGCATCATCTTCCAGACGCTACCATAGCAACACCATCGTAACCAAATTTTCACATGCCGAGAGCCTATATAAGGAAGGCTGCTGCTAACAATCGACAAGAGGCTTCTGAAGTGGTTTCCAAGCGGACGTCTTTTTGATCGCTCTTCCCATTTTTTCAAGGTAGGATTGATTTTCAACATGTTTGCTAGCAAGGCGAAAAACGGTCGCGATGCTCGGAAGACCCGGTCCAGTCGGATTGTTAGACCGGTGTCTTTGCCCAACTTTATGAGAACCGACCCTGATGGCACACTTACGGCCATTTACCAGCGCATAAAGGCGGCTTCTTCAAAGCCGAAGCTGCCAAAAGCGCAGGATCGTTGGGAGGTTCTCAAAAGATTGCCGGTGACCGATGAATACGATAATGTACGGTCGCTGGTCGGTGAGTACATCCGACGGCCTTTTAAAGCGTCTACTAGCAAACAGTTGATTGGTGAGGGAATTGGGAGCGAAGTTCAAGAATACCGTTACGAAACTACTCCGGATGCCTCAAAGGCGGGTTTTGGTAAGGGGAATTTTGATAATAATTATGAAGGTGTAGAGTTAGATAAAAATATGAATTTAGGAGATAGGGTGGCTTTTGAAGGTCAGTCCCAAATTTTATGTGAGGCATTTAGATATAACAGAGCCGATGTAGATTCGGTTCTGGTAGCAGGTATTGCCAAGGTACAGGAATGCGAGACGACATTAGCAGTATTTGAAACATACGCCAAGATACAACATGATATTTTGGAACGTGTGACGTATGTTCCGACCACTGCTGATGTTTCTACGCAAACTACTATCCCAAAATTACAGCGAACACAGCTGAACTTTATGTATGCTGGGTTTTGGGAGAGGTGTACCTTGAGAGAAAATCAAGGTATGCAAACCGAAGATCAAAATTTGACAGTTCCGAAGCAGCCTACTATGATGCTTCAGAAAAATGCTAGTGGCCCAAATTCAAATTTGATAAAAAATCTTTTTGGTTGGAAATCTTTAGGATTGACATTTTTTGTTTCGGCCCTGGTCCTCGGTTTGCTGGAAATTCCAAATTACATCTAGCAGATTGGTATTGATTTTTGTTATTTGGATCGAGCTCGCTGGTGGTACAACGAATTTCATCAAAATTAATTAGCTTCTCCGAGGTCTTCTGACGAGTAAAGATGTTGTAGCCGGGTACAAACGAATACTTCGAGCTACCATCTTTTCTACGAGAATTCCTCGGAACCCATTAACACCGGATAGGGACCTTTTGGTGAAAAAAATTCGTTTAGGGACCGTGCCTGGATGGCTAAACCTATTGGGAATGGCTTCCAAGCAAACCAATCGATGTAGCAGAATGCTTTCATCGAAGATCGTTTTGTTTATGAAGTTCGAAAGACCACTATCGTGAGCTCGATCGTCGCATTTCGGAGTATTTAGCAGTGTTAGGGTTTTTGATGTAGTATAGGTATATATAGAAAAAGAATCAGGTAGATTGATAGGAGCTAGGACAGGAGCACATATGTGATTGGCAGGGAATGTGGTGGGAGTTTAAAGGTAATGAAAAGTCATCCCTTTTGATAATTTCGATCGAAACTGGTTGATCATAAATTGATTTGATTGAAAATCGGTTTGGACCGAAATTAGAAATAGAGAGGTGACTTTTCAATACATTTAACGGGGCCTATCACATATGTGCTCCTTTTTAACTTGTTAGTCAGGTACTTCCAAATTTACCGTTCATGTATAGTAGCTAGTTAAAAGGGTGGTATAAAATTTCTCGGATTTTAATTTCAGAATGGCCTATTTATTAGCATACTAATATTTTAGTTTTCGAAAACGTAACAAAGCTATTAAAAATTTGATTAAAATGGGAATATTTCCTTCTTTGAGTGTTCATTACGTTGTTTGATTATTTTTGTTTTTCTTTTTCTTTCCGTTGTTATTGTTATTTTTGTTATTCTTTAGTTTGATATTTGAATAAAGAAGGCAATATTCCCATTAGCAAAATTTTGAATAAAAAATAAAATTTTCCATTTTGAATGCACATGATTTCCTACTTTCATGTAAATGGTCCATTTTAGGAAATGAAACTCCGGGAAATGTGATACCACCCTTAGAAGCGTTTTCAATCAGTTAGGAGCTAGGGCAGGAGCACATATGTGATTGGCAGGGAATGTGGTGGGAGTTTAAGGGTACTGAATTCTTTGTTCAGTACTTTTAACGGGGCTTCTCACATATGTGCTCCAGGATAGAGTCGACTTCAGGTCAGAGAAAATTGGTAGTTGGTAGATTGAAAGTGTATTATGTAGAATAGCTAGGGCCGAAACGAGAATTTAATGAGTCCCACATTTGAAATGATCTGCAATTTTTTCTCGTTGTCAATTAAAATTGTAATTTTAGGTTAATATTTTCAAGTTAAAAAAATTCCATACCATCTTTTGTATGAATGAAAGTGCTCACTGTAGTGTATCAACTAAGTGGTGTTGCTTAATTTTGTTGAATTAAGTGTTTAAGGCTTCAAAAGATCCTGTTGACCAATGAATTCTTCAAATAGTATTGCCTAACTAAAGCTAACCAAGACACCATTATGGAATGCTCTTCGGCAGGGGAACTATGCCATTAGCGCGAAGCATTTTTAAACCACTGATGCTGGCGCCAACTAGTATTGTGTTTACTATTTGGTCATCACTTGATTCAATAGGATCAGATCCACCGATGCAAGTAGCACAAAATGGGTAAGTGTGTCACTTTTTGATCTAAGTGTTCCTCTAATTGACCCTGACTTGTTGAGGAGGTACCTACGTTCGGTTCATTGTTTGATCTCATGCTTGCAGGATAAAATTATAAACATGGTTTGCCTCTATATCTAGTTCAGCTCTCATACCAATCTGACGCTTTACATTAGTTTTAGACAATCCAAGAAATTTGAATGTTCATTTCAAGTAACAAAAATAAAATTCAGAGGAGGACCGTTCGTTTAAAACACGGTGCACAAAGGCAATGAATTAATCTGCAAGTAAATAACGAAGCTCTTACGTACAGAAAAAGTAGGACGAAGGACCTCCGTCCCACCTTTGAAACAAATTCCTAAATCCAGATTAGAGCTTTTCGTAGCACTAGGATAAGAAATGAGTGGACTGGTTGATTTTAAGCCAACTGAACTGCCAAATCCTAATCGAGAAACGCATATCTTGATTGAAATGGCAGTGTTGCTAGAAACCACCAGGGCATACGTTGCCAAGGTCGTTTGTTTTATTTTTATTTATTGGTCGTCAATCAGTGTAGACCGTTTTACAAAAGTTCTGTTGATTTTTGAATACGCTTCTTTCTTATCCTAAAAACCCATCCTACGTAGCATCTTTGGCTGTGGTGCTATAATCTCAGCTATAATAATAAAAATAATAAAGAAAGTCGTACCTTCGTTAGTCACGATGCTGCATAAAACGAGTGGTGCTCTGGTTCGACTGTCAAAATTGTTCTGGTGGCTTGAATGTCCAAGTCTGGATCAGTTTCAAATTTTGAGAATTCAGAGCTGTGACGAATTTTTGAAGCACAAATGAATGGTGGAATTGACCAGGCCTCCTCGGTTCTACAACAGGCCGCGTAAACGCTACCCGTATTGCTATCTGCATTCGGAGAAAAATAATTATTATTTATTTATGGGAAACAGCAAAATTCACAAACTTACCACGCACTCTTCACAAAAATTGAAGTAAAATGCACCGCTTGATAGAGACAAACCATAACCTGTAAGTAAAGAATTTAAAGGTATGAGGTATTTTAAATGAATTCAGAATTATGGTCCCAATAGAGTGTGAAACTGTTGTTCATTAAGTTAAACATCTAAATAATATACGATAAGTGAATTCATGTCATTCCTTTGTGATATATGCTGTTAAACGTTTAATTTGAAGTCGATGATTTTAATAAAGGTGTCGTGTTTTGCACAACATATAATTTTATTAAAGAATCAGTTGGATTTCATGATCTGGAAATATTTGTGAAACCTCCAGATGAAAACAAGCACAATCCGTTACCCACATCTGAGCATCTGAGGAAATGTTATCGTTGTTTTTCTACAAGTGGGCATTTTACCCCTACCAGCCACTTGACTGGCATTATTGGTTCCTTATCCACATATGCTAAATGCAGTGTCCGGACCCTGGTCGGGACTGATTAGAAAGCGAATTTTATTTGTAGTGCAATGGGACGTGCGGGCGAGAGTATTAAAATAGATCTGAAAACATAAAAAGAAAGCCATATTTCATTATATTTTCATAAGATTTTCATTCCATTTAAAATTAATAATAGGAGAAATAGCTCTAATGTTGGCCTATGGATATAAGATTGGGACTGCTATTTATCCATTTTATCTAGTTGAACGCGTCATTGGGACGGTACTAATGGATAATTTTGGTTGCTATTGAAAATTTAGTCGATTGCTGAATTTATGTATGGGCCCAAATTAGGGGCCTTTAGGCCGACATTACATCCATTTTCTCTAGTTAAGATTTTATTTCTCATTCAAAATGGGCAAAGTTTTAGATTTTACATTATAGGGTAAATGTCGACTTCGGCACCCATTGACTGTTTTCGGCAACCAAAATTTAAACGTTAATTTCACTATGTTTTACCATCAACCCACTTCCCTGAATGTATCCAAACGATTCTTTAGTCTTTCAGCTTCAATCTGATTATATTTGTAGGACCGAGCAATCCTGTTATGCCAGATTTTTATTCAAATGAAGCATACGTACTACAAAATGGGGCTGATTTCTAGTTGCCGATAATAGAACAGCTGGTTAACACGCAGTTCTAATGGGAAGGTTGCCGAAGAAAAAGTGGCTGACGACAATAGTCACACTCACCTGAGAAATTTAGAGCGTTGTAAAAACGCTTTCAAACAGTTTTGAATAATTCTGTCGATTGGAATGGATAGAGAAGCAAGCAGCAGATGAATTGAAACAAACAGACACGTCATATATGTGCGTGACGCTGTGAAAATGCTAATAGAAGTGCGGACGCTGCTTAGATTGACGAGAATACGTAAATTCCCCTATATGGAATCTCATCTACACACCAATAATCAAACGTTCACACGCGGCATTAGACAACATCATTGACGGCTGTAGCAGTACGCGACTTCCGAGTCTTATTAGTCATAGTTATTACGTCCCAGTGGAACTTCGAATTTGTCTTCAACTTTCATTTCATTTGCCATTTTGTGACTGCCGTCGTTACATGTGCAATGGTGACTACGTGAATGAAACATATTGGCTATCATTACCTGACGATATGGAATATTCATCAGCGAAAGAAAAGAGGGCACAGAATAATAAAATTTATGAAAATGGTACCATAATTTTGGCAAATTTAAATATAGCCCTTTACCTTGTGTAAACGGGAAAAGAGTTTGAAGTATGTTACTATGAAACAATCAAATTGATTTCCCATTGACAGGTTAAAGGCAACCTGAAATTCTGTTAACTCAAATTATATTCACTTTATCTGTCATAATTCTGCAACATCAAAATGTTATACCGTTGTTTAAAGACAACTTTGGAAATCAACTTGCGCCAGAGTAGCACACATCAAACAAAATATAATGCTTGTTATCGGGGGAAGGGGTTGTAAAAGGCTTGACCCTTTTATAAGTTAACGCCTGGACATAAACCAGGAAAGAAAATCCACATGACCTACACATCAGCAAATTCGAGATATTCAAGTCATCAAAAGTTTTATACGTTATGGAAATTAATAAACTAGCTATCGAAATGATCTGTTCCACATATCTGAATCTGATATCCGAAACAAAGCACCCATACCCACCAGTCTTGAAACTTCCATTAAATGTTGTTTGAAGCCTTCCGGAATGAATCTCTAAAGTTCTGTGACCTTCTCCTTTCCTTGATCAGGATTCAAGGTAAAAGTAACCTCTCTCTCTCTCTCTCTCTGTTTATTTAGGATTCTCAACCTAAAAACTTCCTGTTTGTGATCAACCGCGAATTGCGTTATTGAAATTTGTTCCTAGTACGCGAGTGTTAATGTTATTCGGAGTATCCAAGAAGAATTCCAAAGGACTTTTACTGGATAATGTCTCAGAGCTTCCGTCAAGGAGATCCCTAGACCGGTAATTTGATTTTGATTTTGCGCGACAGAAGGGGGTCTTAAGGCCACATTCCAGAACGTGAGTGGGACATGGTGATCACTTAACACTATAATATCGAAAATGAACCACATGCCCGAAAAAAAAAACCGTAGAACGACTCCCATACACCCTCCATGCTAAATCGTGAGTCTCCTACTTGCCCATATCATTGCATGCATTTCAGGTATAAGCGCATTTGATTCACTTTTCAGTAGCTAGTTTGGACAAATATATACTACAATAGAGCGGAGCATACTTACAGTTTTTTCTGGTTTCCATGTACTTATTGTTTTCCTTCACCACCAGCCATCTGACCAGGGCAATGGAACATCAGTTCTTAATGTCTTCAAAACTGGGGGGATTCGAATCGCTCCTCGTGCATAATCCTTCCATATAACAGGTCAGGCATCTCAGCATCTGGAAAGAGCACTCGGTTATTCATATGCACGGTATGGTTTGTAATAAGACATAGAAAACGAAAAGAGAGAAGATCTGGATTAGTTTTCCGAGGTGACAGCTTTTTAGGAATACCCGTCTAACCATATCGTATCTTATGGTTATGGTTATGGCTTCTGCTTCGGTCTGGGTCGAAGAACATATTCGCAAAGAAGCGACAAAAAATTCCGTTGAACAGAGCTACAGCTGTACTGAGTTGTCCGTAAAGCTTCATTCAGACCAGCATAATCATCGCGGTGAAAATCAAACTCACTTTCATCATTGTATCGTCCAAAGAGGCGGACAGATAAGTTTGACAAAGACTGAAGGATGAAACGGATCAGCATCAATGAGAGCTTCAGGTGTTTTGTCGGCATTAGCAAATATCAAGTCCGAGGTCCGGTTAACATAATTAATCTGCTAAACTTGTCCAGCATAGGCCAGACTGATTATAATCACCAAACAGTAGGTGAACGTCCAAGTTTCTCGGATGTGGCCAACGCAGATCCGATGTCTTTCATCACAAGTCGTGGAAGTAGAAAAATCGGGAGGGATGTATACGTTACACCAAGACCGACCATTCAAACCCATGCTTGAGGCTACCACTCAGCAAAGACGTCAGCAAAACCCAACCGACACCCGTAGAAACAAATCGATGACGTGCGCAAAACCAGTTAAACTACGTGAACGAAGGTTGCATCAGAATCAAACCACCCGGAGGATTGGCGAATCTGCAGATTTAGTTTTAGCTGCATGGCAGTATTCGGACTACCAACGGTGTCAGTCAGGCCTTGCGTACCCACCTCGATAACAGGTATTTCCATTTGGGCTGCTTTAGTAACAGGCTGAAGTAGGTAGTTACCATTCAGATAAGGGGCAGTATCCTTCCCGGCTTCGGCGAGACATATTATATAATACCACTGTTAAACTTACCTGACAAAGCAGGAAGTAGAATAGCCCGACTGTGGCAGAGAGATTAGGGGCTTCCATGGTGCCAACATCATTGTGTTCCAGTGTCAAGCTGACAGAATATAGTTGATCAATCGGCGTAGCGCTGGAACTGGAGAACGAATTAAGTGTTGATCTCGTCAGAAAATATTTGTACTCACCTGCAGTTTCAGGTTGGAAGACCACTTATCCAATCCCACACACAGGGTCGGGAAGATTGTTGAACGACGGCTACAGTGGCAGGACTGTGGTGGGAGGATCGGTGGCTTTCATAGTACCAACATCGTTGCGTGCCAGAGTCGATGTAGTTCGATCCAGGAATATATCAGTTGCAAGGTTACGCAGTTTGTTCACCAGTTCACAGTTAACACACTTTATGAAAGTAGATTCACATTCTTTTGCTTCATGATCACCAGCACATATGAGACAGCAAGTAGAGTTGTTTCAGGAACATGCTGTATGGCCAGACATGGAACATTTGAAGTAGCGGTAGACATTGATTTCTTCAGCCACTCTACAGGTAGACGCGTTGCAGCTTGATCAAAGGATCAAAGTTTCAAATGTCCGAGGAGAGCGGAAGATTGTTTTGCTTTTTCAATTTGAGGTCAATTTCACCAGCACTTAAATCTTCGGACAGACCAATGATTTTTATCCATGATCACTTGTTTCCGTACGGAAACGTTACCGTTCTCCATGCATCGAACATTTTTGACCGAAAAAGCAGCAGAATATATCTTCGAGAGAATATTCTTGATTTGTCACATCAGCACGTTGATTTCCCTTAGGCTTGATAATTACAGTTTGTTCTCTCTTGTTGGATCTCGCTGCGGCTCTTCTGCTTCCGTCCCAAGTGTCGAACCACAAAAGAGACTGGCCTGTCGGACTCTTTCCTCTTCAATAATTTCAGGGTCCAAGCTTGGGTCCGATGATTGATCCGTTCCCTATAAATAAAACAAAAATGGTTAGCAATCAGCTTAAGCAATAGCAATAACATCAATAACAAGGAAATAAAATAAGTCGACAGGAATCTGACCTAGGACCGTCGTGAAAAAAAATGACACTTCAATGAAGAAGAAAACATGCACGCCTACGTTGATCAAAAAGTTTGATTTTCATGATTTTCACCCACTTGCGCATCATCTTCCAGACGCTACCATAGCAACACCATCGTAACCAAATTTTCACATGCCGAGAGCCTATATAAGGAAGGCTGCTGCTAACAATCGACAAGAGGCTTCTGAAGTGGTTTCCAAGCGGACGTCTTTTTGATCGCTCTTCCCATTTTTTCAAGGTAGGATTGATTTTCAACATGTTTGCTAGCAAGGCGAAAAACGGTCGCGATGCTCGGAAGACCCGGTCCAGTCGGATTGTTAGACCGGTGTCTTTGCCCAACTTTATGAGAACCGACCCTGATGGCACACTTACGGCCATTTACCAGCGCATAAAGGCGGCTTCTTCAAAGCCGAAGCTGCCAAAAGCGCAGGATCGTTGGGAGGTTCTCAAAAGATTGCCGGTGACCGATGAATACGATAATGTACGGTCGCTGGTCGGTGAGTACATCCGACGGCCTTTTAAAGCGTCTACTAGCAAACAGTTGATTGGTGAGGGAATTGGGAGCGAAGTTCAAGAATACCGTTACGAAACTACTCCGGATGCCTCAAAGGCGGGTTTTGGTAAGGGGAATTTTGATAATAATTATGAAGGTGTAGAGTTAGATAAAAATATGAATTTAGGAGATAGGGTGGCTTTTGAAGGTCAGTCCCAAATTTTATGTGAGGCATTTAGATATAACAGAGCCGATGTAGATTCGGTTCTGGTAGCAGGTATTGCCAAGGTACAGGAATGCGAGACGACATTAGCAGTATTTGAAACATACGCCAAGATACAACATGATATTTTGGAACGTGTGACGTATGTTCCGACCACTGCTGATGTTTCTACGCAAACTACTATCCCAAAATTACAGCGAACACAGCTGAACTTTATGTATGCTGGGTTTTGGGAGAGGTGTACCTTGAGAGAAAATCAAGGTATGCAAACCGAAGATCAAAATTTGACAGTTCCGAAGCAGCCTACTATGATGCTTCAGAAAAATGCTAGTGGCCCAAATTCAAATTTGATAAAAAATCTTTTTGGTTGGAAATCTTTAGGATTGACATTTTTTGTTTCGGCCCTGGTCCTCGGTTTGCTGGAAATTCCAAATTACATCTAGCAGATTGGTATTGATTTTTGTTATTTGGATCGAGCTCGCTGGTGGTACAACGAATTTCATCAAAATTAATTAGCTTCTCCGAGGTCTTCTGACGAGTAAAGATGTTGTAGCCGGGTACAAACGAATACTTCGAGCTACCATCTTTTCTACGAGAATTCCTCGGAACCCATTAACACCGGATAGGGACCTTTTTGATCTAAGTGTTCCTCTAATTGACCCTGACTTGTTGAGGAGGTACCTACGTTCGGTTCATTGTTTGATCTCATGCTTGCAGGATAAAATTATAAACATGGTTTGCCTCTATATCTAGTTCAGCTCTCATACCAATCTGACGCTTTACATTAGTTTTAGACAATCCAAGAAATTTGAATGTTCATTTCAAGTAACAAAAATAAAATTCAGAGGAGGACCGTTCGTTTAAAACACGGTGCACAAAGGCAATGAATTAATCTGCAAGTAAATAACGAAGCTCTTACGTACAGAAAAAGTAGGACGAAGGACCTCCGTCCCACCTTTGAAACAAATTCCTAAATCCAGATTAGAGCTTTTCGTAGCACTAGGATAAGAAATGAGTGGACTGGTTGATTTTAAGCCAACTGAACTGCCAAATCCTAATCGAGAAACGCATATCTTGATTGAAATGGCAGTGTTGCTAGAAACCACCAGGGCATACGTTGCCAAGGTCGTTTGTTTTATTTTTATTTATTGGTCGTCAATCAGTGTAGACAGTGTAGGCCTCCTCGGTTCTACAACAGGCCGCGTAAACGCTACCCGTATTGCTATCTGCATTCGGAGAAAAATAATTATTATTTATTTATGGGAAACAGCAAAATTCACAAACTTACCACGCACTCTTCACAAAAATTGAAGTAAAATGCACCGCTTGATAGAGACAAACCATAACCTGTAAGTAAAGAATTTAAAGGTATGAGGTATTTTAAATGAATTCAGAATTATGGTCCCAATAGAGTGTGAAACTGTTGTTCATTAAGTTAAACATCTAAATAATATACGATAAGTGAATTCATGTCATTCCTTTGTGATATATGCTGTTAAACGTTTAATTTGAAGTCGATGATTTTAATAAAGGTGTCGTGTTTTGCACAACATATAATTTTATTAAAGAATCAGTTGGATTTCATGATCTGGAAATATTTGTGAAACCTCCAGATGAAAACAAGCACAATCCGTTACCCACATCTGAGCATCTGAGGAAATGTTATCGTTGTTTTTCTACAAGTGGGCATTTTACCCCTACCAGCCACTTGACTGGCATTATTGGTTCCTTATCCACATATGCTAAATGCAGTGTCCGGACCCTGGTCGGGACTGATTAGAAAGCGAATTTTATTTGTAGTGCAATGGGACGTGCGGGCGAGAGTATTAAAATAGATCTGAAAACATAAAAAGAAAGCCATATTTCATTATATTTTCATAAGATTTTCATTCCATTTAAAATTAATAATAGGAGAAATAGCTCTAATGTTGGCCTATGGATATAAGATTGGGACTGCTATTTATCCATTTTATCTAGTTGAACGCGTCATTGGGACGGTACTAATGGATAATTTTGGTTGCTATTGAAAATTTAGTCGATTGCTGAATTTATGTATGGGCCCAAATTAGGGGCCTTTAGGCCGACATTACATCCATTTTCTCTAGTTAAGATTTTATTTCTCATTCAAAATGGGCAAAGTTTTAGATTTTACATTATATATGGAATCTCATCTACACACCAATAATCAAACGTTCACACGCGGCATTAGACAACATCATTGACGGCTGTAGCAGTACGCGACTTCCGAGTCTTATTAGTCATAGTTATTACGTCCCAGTGGAACTTCGAATTTGTCTTCAACTTTCATTTCATTTGCCATTTTGTGACTGCCGTCGTTACATGTGCAATGGTGACTACGTGAATGAAACATATTGGCTATCATTACCTGACGATATGGAATATTCATCAGCGAAAGAAAAGAGGGCACAGAATAATAAAATTTATGAAAATGGTACCATAATTTTGGCAAATTTAAATATAGCCCTTTACCTTGTGTAAACGGGAAAAGAGTTTGAAGTATGTTACTATGAAACAATCAAATTGATTTCCCATTGACAGGTTAAAGGCAACCTGAAATTCTGTTAACTCAAATTATATTCACTTTATCTGTCATAATTCTGCAACATCAAAATGTTATACCGTTGTTTAAAGACAACTTTGGAAATCAACTTGCGCCAGAGTAGCACACATCAAACAAAATATAATGCTTGTTATCGGGGGAAGGGGTTGTAAAAGGCTTGACCCTTTTATAAGTTAACGCCTGGACATAAACCAGGAAAGAAAATCCACATGACCTACACATCAGCAAATTCGAGATATTCAAGTCATCAAAAGTTTTATACGTTATGGAAATTAATAAACTAGCTATCGAAATGATCTGTTCCACATATCTGAATCTGATATCCGAAACAAAGCACCCATACCCACCAGTCTTGAAACTTCCATTAAATGTTGTTTGAAGCCTTCCGGAATGAATCTCTAAAGTTCTGTGACCTTCTCCTTTCCTTGATCAGGATTCAAGGTAAAAGTAACCTCTCTCTCTCTCTCTCTCTCTCTGTTTATTTAGGATTCTCAACCTAAAAACTTCCTGTTTGTGATCAACCGCGAATTGCGTTATTGAAATTTGTTCCTAGTACGCGAGTGTTAATGTTATTCGGAGTATCCAAGAAGAATTCCAAAGGACTTTTACTGGATAATGTCTCAGAGCTTCCGTCAAGGAGATCCCTAGACCGGTAATTTGATTTTGATTTTGCGCGACAGAAGGGGGTCTTAAGGCCACATTCCAGAACGTGAGTGGGACATGGTGATCACTTAACACTATAATATCGAAAATGAACCACATGCCCGAAAAAAAAAACCGTAGAACGACTCCCATACACCCTCCATGCTAAATCGTGAGTCTCCTACTTGCCCATATCATTGCATGCATTTCAGGTATAAGCGCATTTGATTCACTTTTCAGTAGCTAGTTTGGACAAATATATACTACAATAGAGCGGAGCATACTTACAGTTTTTTCTGGTTTCCATGTACTTATTGTTTTCCTTCACCACCAGCCATCTGACCAGGGCAATGGAACATCAGTTCTTAATGTCTTCAAAACTGGGGGGATTCGAATCGCTCCTCGTGCATAATCCTTCCATATAACAGGTCAGGCATCTCAGCATCTGGAAAGAGCACTCGGTTATTCATATGCTCGGTATGGCTTGTAATAAGACATAGAAAACGAAAAGAGAGAAGATCTGGATTAGTTTTCCGAGGTGACAGCTTTTTAGGAATACCCGTCTAACCATATCGTATCTTATGGTTATGGTTATGGCTTCTGCTTCGGTCTGGGTCGAAGAACATATTCGCAAAGAAGCGACAAAAAATTCCGTTGAACAGAGCTACAGCTGTACTGAGTTGTCCGTAAAGCTTCATTCAGACCAGCATAATCATCGCGGTGAAAATCAAACTCACTTTCATCATTGTATCGTCCAAAGAGGCGGACAGATAAGTTTGACAAAGACTGAAGGATGAAACGGATCAGCATCAATGAGAGCTTCAGGTGTTTTGTCGGCATTAGCAAATATCAAGTCCGAGGTCCGGTTAACATAATTAATCTGCTAAACTTGTCCAGCATAGGCCAGACTGATTATAATCACCAAACAGTAGGTGAACGTCCAAGTTTC